TGTACCACAGTCTAAATCTCCTAGAACAGATGCTACGGAAGTAAAACATTCTTCTTAGTTGGATGGATTGAGACAATTATCATACGGCTGAAAGTGATAAAATTTATTGAACATTCCTCATGAGAGGTACTTGAGTTTTTGGTGGAGTTTTGTTCTCTGAGCTGGATGGTTTGGTCGTGGAGCTTTCATCGTTCTTCTGAACGACATCATCAGCACAAACTTCAGATAGAAGTGAAGTGTTTGAATTTCTCCATATGTGTCTCAAAGCTTGTTCTGTGCACCTCGACGTTGATTGGTTCTTATTGACCTTAAATTTGTCGTTGTTTACTTCTTTGTTTTGGTTGTGTCTCCCATTGTTTTGATTTTTGTTCTTATGTTTGTGCATGATTTTTCTGATTGGTTGATAAATTGGATTGATTTCAATATGCTTGTTGATTGCTAATTGACCCGAGTGCCAGGCTTCTAAAAATTCTCTGGTGTTTTTGGAGTTTCCTCTGTCTAAGATTTCCACATTTTTCCAATCGAATGAGTGTCCGCAGTTGTCCACGTGTATTGATATAAGTGAAGAGATATCATGCCGTTTGACTGCTAATTGATGTTCATGTAGGCGAAGGTGAAGGGGGCGTCCGCTTTGTCCGATGTAGTGTTTTTCGCAGTTGGCACAATTTATTTTGTAGATGATGTTTGATTTGTTTTCCTTTGTTATTTCATCTTTTGGTTTGCATAAGATTGATTGTAGTGATTTTGTCGGTTTATGTGCTACACCTATTCCGAAGGTTTTCAGCAGTCTCGTCGCTGTTTCTGATATTCCTTGTATATATGGTAGGGTGATCCTTTTGTTGATTTTTGTGCTTGACTTGAGTTCTAATGCTGCGTGCTTGAGTATTTGACTATATCGGTTCAATGAATCTCAGAATGAAGATCATAACTTGCATGCAAATGTAGTCCATGTTTAAACTTTCATTTATTGAAAGTGATAGATATTCATTATGCAGATATTTAAACATCCATTTCTATTTTCATTATTTCAGAGGAATTATTTGCTGTCAGATGGTTTATTAATAAAGAAGTTGATGGTAAACGTAAGTCAACACATGTGGAATCTAAACACTTACATCTTCATTCCATATGATTATTCACAGTTTGTCAAATTCAATTTGTCTCAGAAACTGAAAATGTAGATATTTGTCACTTTTCAGAGAAATCAGGGTAGGATTATTTGTGAAATCCACTGATCGCTTGATGACGCTGAATAAGATTTGAAGAATAGTTGATGTGATCTGGAAATGACTAAGGTTGATGAGTCAAATACAGATCACTATGGTGGATAAATCAGGTCACAATCTTATTTCATTTGTGTGCAAACGAATTGAGAGATTGGTTGACGTTTACAGGCTTGAATTGAATTTGATGATCAGTTTCAGTTTCAAAATAAATGAATCGTGTTGTATGTTTGTCACAAAGTCAGTTCTGTACACAACACATTCATCTACCCATCCATTAATCTCATAGTCATTCCTAAATATTATCCATTGAGATTTTAAAAATATCCGTAACACCATCTATCTAGGGCTGTTCGTTTCTCATCCACAACAAATGAACACTATGGTTGTATTCAGTTGATCGATTGAAATATCACTTAACCATGTAACCAATTAAATCCCCAAGTTCAATTTGTAAGCAAACAACGCAAATCTTATGTCATGTGTACTCAGTCTCGATTGTTTTATCAGGCATTCAAGAATGTTTACCGCATACATATGAATACTTCATTGACCATCGGATCTTAATGGAATAATTACCGATTTATTGTTTCAGTGATAATACAATAGTAATACAACATTAGGCATTTGTTATTCGTTTAGTAGGATGCACGCTTCTCTCATTCCCATGACGTGCACTTGGAAGTATTTACCGTGAAGTCAACTGAAGAAAATATTTGACATAACACAATAACTATTCACTGAAACATGGTCACTTTATGCGCTGACATATACTATGTCACATTTACCTCGAATGTTCTAAATATCGATGGTTTTCTAATTGTAGAGTTTACAGCCGAGGTAACTTGCCTAATACATCCGAATGGGAAGATAGTTTTCTATTATGATAAAGTAAGTTGCAAAATTGAATGCAAATGTAGTTTTGTTTCACGTACTTCAGATTACTCAACTATTTCATGTTTATGAATACTGTCAAATATATAACTAGTCACATTGAACACGAGAGGAATGTAGCAACATTCTGTAAAGTGCAAACAGAATATTTGACACTATTATCCAACCTTCGATGACACAACTTATTCAAGCATTTGTTAAAAACAGTAAATGATTAGAAGTGAATCACCTCACTTTCATTTAGGAGGTTGTGTGTTGAGAGATCTTGACTCAAACTATCAACATTTTCTTTCAGGTTTCAACGGAAATTAAAGAAATTGAATGGATACCGAAAATCTTATGTGGAAGAAGTAAGAAACATTTCAATAAATGTTGTCACCATATTGATGTCAGGTTACTCGTATCATCAGTTATCTGTTTGTGTTATATTACTTTCTGTTTGTACCCTGGTTATCAGCACGTCAACACAGAACATTCCTTTATTCTATCACAGTGATCTAATTTAGTCTCGTTACAGTTTGCGTTTAAGATTTGATTTGCTTGTAAAATCAACTGATATAAATGTCATTGAAGTGTTGTGGATAATTGTGCAAAATGAAATTGATATGCGTCTTGTAAAGGCACTGTTCAAATGTTATTGAATTGTGAACCTTCAACGTTAGATCAATGTTCACACTCCTTGTAGGAAAATTGAAGTATCACAGTGATTGTGAATATCAGTGGTCAAAGTGTTTGACATTCGCGACTAGGGCTTACGGACATAGAACCACTATTATAAAATGAATTGAAATCTAAGTTTATATTTATTCAAATCAACAACTATCATACTTGATGGTGCCACAGAAATGATTCAAAGTGAGATCGTTATGGTGTTGTTTCAGCTTTCTGTGACAAATCTCACTGATAATAGATTTCACTGTTCACATATGCTTTTTCTCACTTAACCAGATATCTTGAGTAGAGCAACTAAGGTGTATGAATGTATTTACCCTCAGAGTCGGGATGGCTATTTTGATGCGGCTCAATCTTATGGTTACCGATTAACGCATTCGGATGGGAACATATGAATGACGAGATTAAAGAAATGATATTTACACTCATTTATTCTTTAACTTACAGTACACAAGTCACACTTTTAGTCCTCAGTCTCCACTCAAAATAAGGTATGCTTTATATGAAACAGAATTAAACGAATGGTACTGGTTGGACATTGATCGATTTTGATGTACTTTAATAAGTTTTGGGCATGCTAGATAATCAGCAACTTATCTTATATGAGGCATTTCCCAGTTCCTTGTTTAGACCACGAATTAAATGGTGCAAATAACCTGTTGTATTTATAAACGAATTCAAAATTTATGTGTCTTTTCTTGTTCCCTCTATCACACATGATAAAATAGCACCTAAAATAATTACTCCTGAAACATGGATCAAAAGTGGCACGATGGTGGAATATGAATTCATTGGAGGTATGTTATAACTTATTTAATCAGTAATAACTATCTTCACACTTGAAAACATCCATTTTACTTCAACGATTTGAATATTCCATGTATAATTTCATTTAACCACCAAATGATATCGAGCTATCTATCCTAAATGACATTTCACGTATCATTAGGAACTGCACATCGATTCTTTTGTTGAATGATGAAAAGGATTCAAAATCCAATTTGAATCAATATTGAAGTCTTCACTTTGATCAAAAAGTGACTTGACCACAAAGCAACAAAACGATATATGAGATGATGTTAGTTTTGAATGGATTTAAATGTTTGTGAGTTGATTGTGCGTTGATGAGAAAGTGTCCGTATTTTCTATTAGTACGTGTGAAATGAAATCTTACTGAGGTAGTGAGTTTGCAAAGAAATACTTCACGTAAATGCGTACTCCTTGGAAACGATTGTCTATTTTCCGAAATCTTTGCTTTGTCATACATATACGATACATTGAAGGTATGGATAAGTCACGTTTCCAAATTACAATTTATCATAGCCAGTTTAAGAATTATTTCCACATTATGAAAATGTGTACCTTCTCATGAATATGTACATTGAGTAAGTATAAACAGATATTAGTTCACCATGTTTAAGTCTACTGAAATAATATTTTCAGTAGTGAGAGAATCATTCCATGATGGAATAATCAGATTGCCGTCAATATTCTTCGAATAAGATACTCCGTTCATCATCAATGAATCTTTACTGATCCAACTAGTTTCATAGAATAACTGATAGCACGAAGCACAGAATGCAGTTACATACTTTGATATCATCCATCACAGTAGGTCGACTGAAATCTCTTCAAGAATATCATCATTGATCATTATAAAAACAATGTCAGACTTCGTTTGTCGTTTGACTGGATTAACATAATTAAAACTCGATATTAAGTCTGAAAACAACTGAATTTCTTGAACTAAGTGCATTCATAAAACTGATATCATCTAAAGAAACTGTACAACAATGAAAAATTCAATGTAATGTGCCCTGCTGAGTCCACTGACAGCTTCGTGCGTACATGTCTGAATGTAAACAGTTATTGAAATCCATCGTTCATACTTGACATTCGACATAGTTTCATTCAATTCAAACATGATGTCACGAAACATGATTGAAATTGATGGCGCACTGAATATTGCATTATGCATCGTAGTGACAATTTTCCAGTCAGTGAAATTGTCACTTAACGCCGAAATCACCATTAGATCATTGGGTTATTGTTACATGTTTTGTAATTCACTTACCTTTTGTTTGGTCACTTGAGATTAAATCATCTCATTCTTTTCACAGACTATTGTCCAAAATACACCTCGCCTGAAGCATGCCAAAACGCAACAACATTGGATATAACTTGTTTTTGGTGTGATAAAGCGAAGCTATGCATTGATAGTACTGACAAGGATGCTCATAACATGAAAGTTAATAACTGCCGTGTTAAGGTTAGTACTTCTTAATCTTCACAGGTCGTTTTCAATATTACAAAATTACACATTTCGCGTACATCCATTCACCCGAAGAAACATTTTTTCTTTACGAATAAAAAATAATTCGTATACTACCCTCAATGACTAAATTAAACTTTTGTATACATTGACGTCAACTAATCTCATATGAGTACCATGCTTTCTTTCTATGGAATGAGTAAACCATGGATCGAAGTGATCATTGTCACTAATCCTCGAAAAAAATAATGATATTTCAGCTCATTGTAAGTGTGGTCATTTTGGAAAACGCATATCTATGTGGATTGTTGCAAAATACCGATGAAAACAGTTTGATTGAAGAAGTGTAACCTGTTGGAAATAGTGTGTCATATATTGATAATTAATGGAAGTAGACTCCATTGTTGAAGTTTCGAACAAGGATTTCTGACGTTCTGCTGAGTAATATGTAACCTAGATACACTACTTTAATTAAAAAGTCGATTATAAGTTTATTGGTTTTTATTCGCATTGTGATTAGTTGCGACATTCAGAACACAAATTTCATCACACAATTGAGTCTTCTGTTGGTTTCAGAATGGCGTGTACTCAGCATACAGACTGTCAAATCGGTAGTAGATGCTCTAAATGATTGTATGAATGCAAATTGAGTAACTATTTGTTGAATGTTATTCTATTATCAGTGCTGACAATTGTGCATAATGATTACTGAATTAATTGACATTTGGTAATCAATGCTTTTGTTTTGTTTATTAAGCATAACCCAGATGTGAACGAATTGAGTACACAAACACCCACCAAACACATTGAAACAACATCAAGCGCTGGTGAATTTCCGGTTACAGAAAGCCCCAAGGAAACTACAGAAGAAACTGATCAACACTCGGTAAATATTTGATATTTAGTAATAAATGCTAATATTTTGTTTTTCTTCAGAACACGACTACTGAAGAGAATGTAGAGAAGAAATCACTATGGTACTTGTATATCGTGATTCCTTTAGTCACCATTTTCTTTGTTGTATGTGTTGGTTTAATAATTTGGAGATGGCTACATCAAAGAAAGTGAAGTAAAGGATGATTCTCACAAATGTCTTATAACTTTGTTTGATTATTCCAAATTGTTTCCATGTAGTACTTCTTTAGAACACTTTCCATATCATTATTCATTTCAATAGTTTGAACAATTTCTTTATGGAATTATGTACATTCTTATGATTGTTTACTTAACAACTTATGTAATCTTGTTGACAAAATATAGAAACTGGATTTTTACTATTTGCGTAATTGTCTTCATTGAATAGAAACTGTGTAGCGTTAAATAAATCCCCAAATAAATAGCTCAACAACCCCTGCAATCGCTAGCCAGATTAGATCAGACGATCTTCGATATATTGATAGCCTATCAAACATATCTTCGAACTTCCTCGCTTCTGACTTTTGATTTCACTTGGTGGGTACGATTCATAATAGAAGGTGTTACTGGTTAAGACGTTGTCAAACTCCAACTACTTGTAGCATCTACAACTGACTTGTTTCGCGAGAGTTTGACAACATTTTGTTTTCAAATTAGTAGTATTGTGTAAACGTGATTTTATGATAATTGCAATCAACAATGAGTCCGTTGTGAATGTTTATTTCCAATAAAATCTCACTACTGAACAATATCATTCGGAATTAACTACAGCCATTGTTTTATACTGAGCGACCATAATAGCTTATGAATACAAATATAGGCACTTTTATTCTTCGTTACTGGATTACTTGACGTTCAGTAAAAGTTAGGCGACAAACTATTGTTAACTCGATGTTCTCAAGACTGATTATGATTCCTTCCATGATTTTGTTGTTGTCACGGACGGTTTATGGTCAATTATTTCATTCAAAGCTTGGTCTATAGATAGATCTAAACTGGAGTTGTCATAATCAGCTTCACATGATACTCTGATGTTATGACTAAAGAACTGACAGTTGAGTATGTCAAGTGCTGTGGAAGGATAAGAACTCAGCGTTGCACATTGATTCCCAATTTTAATGGGCACATTTACATCACAGTTGGCGCTGATGATTTTTTTTATTCGACGTCATTGTTGTGAAGTAAGCAACGTTGTTCATTTAAGAATATTTATCTACGGATTATCATTGATAAACTTTTATCATTTTTGACAAGGATCGCCACTGTTTATCATCTGTTGAAACACACCTACTTAATATTAGGTTAAGGTTGATCTCCAGCCAGATTTCAGGAAGGATTGAAGAGCCTAGTCACTGAAATTTCAAGTGCTGCTGCCTGTCAGTATGATTTTTGTTCTTGTGGTCAGCAATAAATATCGTTTGATCAGAGACTTACTTCTGTCCTCCGTCATCTGCTTGAGATAAGATATGCCGATAGTCTGAGTTGATGTTCATTTCGTGTATTTGGTTTCGAGGATTTTGTTGACGGTTGTGATTTCAAAATTGATATAATGCGACTATCTCAACTTGTAGGTGAACGAACGCCGTAAATTCCTTTGTTCATTCACTAAAAATTCTCGAAAGTGATTTTGTACTTTAAATTTCCTCACCTACCGTACACTTCGTACTTATTACCTTGACCTTTGATGTGATTTCAAGACAATAATCAATACTTTAGACGTATACCAATGCGTATCTGAAACATGGGTGGCCGGATGTTTTCCAAGCGGCACTGATTGTCCATAAGGTATTATGAAATTTTGGCCTACATAATCATGCCGTTATTCCATTTTGTTATATATACTCGCTATTAATAATCTCCATACAGGACCGCGAAAGTACTTATCAGTGTTTTTCACGTGTTGCTAGTCAGTGTTTCAAATTCCATTATTTGTGATCATCACACGCAAGCCCTCACGGTGAATTCATACAAAATCACAGAGAACTGAATGTTACCAACAGATAAGCGGCAGATATCTCTGTGCACGAAATGATGCACAGTTCTTGCCAATCGTCGGTTTTCTCTAAATGCCAAATACCCTTCAACCACTGTTAATTTGCAGTAGAGTTTTTTCCTTCTTTATGTAGTCAATTATCAAAACTATAATGAAATCATTTTTGCTTTTAAACTAAGTATTGAATATCAATGAAAACCACCAACTAAATTGGTCATGAGAACTAAGCGTAACTCTACTCATGAAAATTTAATTTGGATGCATACACATTTTTATGGTTTATGGGGATCTATCACATTCAGTGAAAACAAGTTGAATTCGAATGAGCCAAATGTACGCCACAAATACTTTTCTGTTGAAGCCAGTGTCAACATTGTTATCATGTTTTCATTAAATGAAAAGTAGCTTCATTTATATTAAGCCTAACTAACCTTATTGTCAGGAGGTATTCGGTTCATATCAATGCCTTAGCGTTATAACAATTTGCTATAGGAGATTGTCTCAGTCTTGTAGACGATTATTGGAGTTCTTATGCACGTTCTATCTTAGTTTTGCAATAATAAAATGATTCAATTTTGACTACAGTAATTCATTTCATTCCTGTTGGCGTAATGTCACTGACATTTACAGACTGACGATTAATAAAACTTAACAGTAATAAATCAGTTTTTCAGAACTAGCGAGATATAATAAATAAATACACGCATAGAGAAGATCAAAACATTGGTCGATTCACCTGTTTGTTGAGCCATCTATATCTGCAGACACTGGACGACCTGTCGAAAAAACACCGTCAGAATCAAATGCATGGAGCTCATTTACCTGTTTGCCATAACCCTGATGTGAGCAGATGAGATGCATAGACCCGGTTAACCACAAGAAATCAATCTATTCCACGGTTGAACCTACAACAATTTATAAGTAATCTGCATATCATTAAAACACTTCTCCTCACCTAATCAGTTATCAACAACAACCACTCTCAGGTTATACAAAATTTACAGCTGAATTACAACGAGCGAATATGTATCCTAGCTGCACGTCAAGTCGATATGAATGTTGTAATCCCTCATGTTCGAGTTTTTCGATTTAGGGAAATCCATGGTTCTTCTACCGCTATACCCCGTTTAGACCGAAGTTTGAAACGATCTCTTATCTAATCCAAACTATTCGCTAGTCGCATTTAAATTACATAACATCCATACATACGTCATTATCTAGTTGCTTCGTTTTCAAACTCATTACGTTTCAATGTAGACTCACTTCTAAACTGAATTTTGGCACAAATAGTCATGGTCTTATTACACAATACACTTTCTGTAATATTCGCCAACTGATTATGCCCTTCTTTAGTTCCAAACTCGAAATATAATATTCAGGCGTACTATCCATGACAGAGAAGATAAAACTGGAGGTTAATGTCTGATGTACGTTCAAGATTAATTCGCAGATAGTAGTGTGAAATAGTGTTCTTAGCAGCCCAATTGAATACGTCTAATAATAAACTAACATTTTAAACGATGTTTCACCCAATGGCTGCATATAAGTTGTCAAAGACACTTCTACTACTGAGAGTTAACTCATTGTTTATGCGTTAGAATACGCTTCTCTTGATTTCAATGTGTGGGTCGTCATGTGATGTTTAAATTACTCAGGTGCAAAATAGAATACTTATGAGGGTTGACCATCTGATGGTGAATTTTTAACAAAACTGGAAACGCACCGCTATTCACACCAAGTTCACACCCTTAAAAAGACATAACGGCATATTCGATCTATCAGTTCACACAACTAATTTTAAAGTAACAGCCATACAAAGGATATTGGGTCTAACCTTATAAACGTTCCTCATGGCGTTCCTTCACATTACAAGAATTGCAAAAATATAGACCTGATAAGACACTTAAATTGCAACACCGAGTTTAAGAGCAACAGTCTCGTGATTGCTGACGGCATATTTTACCGAATCACTTGTTTGTATACTGGAAATCATTTGCTCCACTGAAGACATATAAAACCATCACGTCTGACGAATTATTTAAAACAGTTGAGTATCATAATTACTAATGACACCTACATAAACTCTAATATAAAATGAATTAACACACATAAGCTACACAACGAATCCAAGGTTTATTCAAATCAGATAATCTCATAGGTGTTAGGCATTATTCGCCAATTAAAAGTTACTCGAAATTGCGAAATCAACTTATACTTCTTGGTCAACAATTTGAAGCACCTAAAAATACAGGTATCACCAGACTTTTGAGTAATGACTGTGATGCCATCTCAAAGTCTGTCAGTATTATTCATGTTGGTCATTCCAGAGGCTTGACTGCATCCACTTATCCACAAATCAGTGAGACCATCACTCCTTTCAAGATCACTTGGAATTCTTTATTATCAGTAAATTAGCTTGACTTCTGAAAGATTTGCTTGTTAGTCGGTTATATGTTATGAATACAGTCTGATGTCTAACTAAAATCAGTATTTGAAACTTCACTATGTGACGTCTAGATATTTTGATGTGACTGCCGAATTCACATGCTTTTGTAAGGAAATTTGATCGAAATCAGCTATTCGAGTCGTTAACCATAAAACGTCTTATCGGTTCACACTGAATAAATGACGTTTTTTTCCTAATCAATATTGAATGTTTCATTTTCGTTACGAGATGATGTTTCTCTGCATTCGTATATCCAGAAAGCATAATGTGCAATACTATTTCCAAACTCTAACAATTTGATGACTGAAATGAAGGTCGATGGTACATAAAAGACGATTCGATGTCGAACGCTCATTTTTACTTACAATTTTTGATCCATTGCCAGTGGATCACGAAACAATGACAAGATAAACGATGAAAGAAAACAGGGCGTTCGATGGAAGACTTCAGTTCAGAAATCTTGCCGAGCAAGGAAATGTAAATATTTACAACATATTCAGTGCAATTATGGTGGGTGAACTCAATACAAGGGGTAATATTATAGTGTTTCAAGAGTCGATTATACTGTTATATCATCTTCACAGGGGACAATTCATCATAACACGGAAATAATAGGCAAAGAACCAAAGACCATGACACCACCTGTAACATGAACAGACACGATAAGAGATTTCAGTTCATTGGCGGAAGTACTTTACTTCGTACTAGTGTTCATAATGAAATGGCACTGTTGATTAAATTCAGATGAACTACATTTTCAAGCACTTGGAACTGGACTTAAGGACAGAATAAAATTTATCATTAAAACATATTGGAGTTTTCTAAGCCAGATGATTTTATTCAGTCTACGACATAACAGTTTGTACCAGAGTATATCAAACGTTCACTAATTCACAAGTATATGAACTCCATCTT